GTTCAGATTGTGAATCTCCTCATTATGAAGTTTTGTCCTGCCTCCTTTCATTTGAAACCTCTGTGTGAAACATATTGTTCTCAGCAAACTCTTCTAAGCTTCCTTAACTCATGTTGTTCTGATAGGAATCTTCTTAAGTATTATGAAAGAATAACTGAGCCATACTCTTAAAGAGCATAATCATGTAGAAGCCTGTGCTGAGCACAGAATGTGATGAACTTCATGGCATAGCAGTTGCTCAGTTCCCGAGGGAATGGTTGAACCGTAATCACTAAACAGGAAAAAGGCTGGGAACTTGATGATATGTGTCGGAGATGGGCTCCAGGCATAATTAATTATCTGTTATTTTGGTATTTGTTTTGTTTGGCGACACTTAAGTTGCAGGGGTTGTAGCATGCCAGATGCGAGGGAAGATGTTTACTTTCTGTTTACCTATATTGTTGAATTTCAGAGGGTCTGTGCTGTTGAATGGGTGACCAATACTGTCCTCCTTTTCCTGGAACCGACATGTAACCATGAGATGTGGGCAGAAATCTGTTGCATATTGGCTGTCTTTCTGTGCTTGAAGTTGGGATCGTGTATTCTTATGTAACTTGATGGAATTTGGGGATTTGCATGTGGTCTGAATAAGAGAAGGGAAGTGGGAAGAAAAGTTGTGCTTGTCTGCAGGGGGCCGCTTTCTTTTAACTTGTTACGTGATGGAAGTTGTAAATACAGGTCCTATGAGTGCATCTGTAGAGTTGGTGTGTGTTCACAAGTTCTGTGTCAGTCACGACTACTAGATGTACCAGTTTGTTACTAGACTGTGAGGTATGTGACCGTTGTCATTTAAAATTACGTGAATTTTGGATTGATTCTCTCCAGTTGTCATTCCTAGCTCAGATGCCCTGTTTCCACAGGATTGGAATGGTATCTTGGTTTCGTTTTCTTTGCTCCTCCAGCCCACTTCACTTGCTAGCTGCAGTCTGTCCCAAAATGTTCCCCTTCTTAGGTTTTTCAGCTGTATCGCAAGTGTTGTCCTTGTTTTGTCAAACCACTTTGCTTCCTGTAATGTTGTTGTTTCAATTCAGAGTATGTCAACTACTACATTAATACTGGCATGTATGAAGTTGGTATGTTTGAAGTCCTAATACTTGTATCCACATTCCTTTGCCAGAGTCACTCTCATAGTAAAAATTTCGAAGGCTTACTTTGTGCTTTGTCAGCATCGCCTTGGACGAGAAGTAGAATGTTGTGAACGTGTCCCTCATCCTGAGCTGATGGATGGTCTTTGGTGATAATGAATTTTCGAACAAGTAATCCAGATCTGAACCTCACATCTTAAATGGAGCCAACAGGGTAGCCAAGTTATTTATGAACATCAGTGACAGTGAAATCACAATTCATACTATGAAATTGATGTGCAGAGGTCCATAACATGAAGGTAAACAGTGACAGAGAAGACAGATCTGTGATAGGATAGGTTTCCTGGGAGCCATGTGATACTGAGGATGGGGAACTGTGCCTATATGAGGCTAATTTTCCACTGAGATTATGTAGACAAAAGTGTGGGCATGTTTCTTAATATACATAGGCCTGCCACAATAAGCGGTCACGCGAGGACAGAATTAGGAAATAGTGATGGGAACGATAGAATCCTTTGCAGTAAGATGTAATGTGGAATTTCAGAATTTTAAATGGCTCACAATGTGTGATGTGTGAAGAAGGGTGGACAAGGAAGAAATTTGTACGACTAAATTAGTTTTCTTGGTACGTACATTTGTTAGGAATTATGAACGTTATAATTTCGTTTATTATTCTGGGGAGAAGGCTGTTGAACTCCTAGAATGAAATACTAATTCTTTGCAGCGTGTGGTCCAAGTGTGATAAATAAGTTTAGGGTGTGTGTTAGTGATAGAAGTGTCTGTATGTTCCGAGTGATGCACTTTTGTGATATTACAGTTACAAAGTTTGCTAAAATTATGTTGTGTGTTTATAAGTGAAATGAGAAAAAAAGTGATTTGGTTTGAGATGCTGGATTGTGTACAGTATCGGCAAGGAAGAAGACAGAGGTGTTGTGAAACTGTGAACAAGTGAAAGACGAAACAGTTGAGAGTGTGCCGATAAAATTAAAGTGGTGAAGCTTGGGCTGTGATGATGTATCTGGATCGACGGCCGACAGACACAGACAGACAGACAGACTGACCGACCGACTGCCTTAGCCACTGACACCCTAGTGTGCAATCTAACAAACAAACATAGATACATACACAGAAAGGTATCAAGTTGCAGGATCTCCTCAAATGAAAGTTGTCAGTTTTCTATCGAATAATTCACCAAAATTTTGATTCTTGTCTTCAGCTCTTCAGTTCAGTTTGTTGAGGTGTACTATTTCGCCTTTCTTCTTTACCAGTTGTTACCTGTACAGATTGCTTCTGTCATATGTTCCTCATGGGGGACTGTTAAATTCTATTCTGTCATGTATCTCCTATCATTCAGGTCCCTTTTAAATGTAAAACAAGTGTGCCAGGATTACAATCTATTGCATATCTTCACTCTTCTCCAGACTTTGTATAAGATCATTTCTTACGAGTGCGCCTCCTGAGTACTGAATCGTTGATACCCCCTCGCTGTGGGTCGTATAGTGAACTCTACTTTTATCCGTTTATTATGCGGAGGTTGGTGATGACCTTCACTTCTGACATTCATCACATTAATTTATGTGATGTGCACTTCCTGCTTCATATCTGCTGAGTAGTATTGCATTCATCAACTTCTAACAGATCTCTGAAGTCCTGCTTTCGTTCAAGGTGTACAACGCTCTTCTTTTAAATCAGTTCGCAGTTAATAATTACCTGGTCTCTCAAACTTGTGTTGTTTAATTATCCTCAGCCAAGAAATGTTCGTTTTCTCTCAAAGTCTACAGGCTGTATTAAACTGAGTATTAACGTCCTATTGCCCTTTATCATTGCCATTACATAATCGGTGTAAGTTATATTTTAATGGTGACCATGCATGTGCGTGAACTTGATGATCCCAGTGTTAATTCTTGGGTCTTGACAACTGACATGATAGCGGGGAGTGAGGGATTCTCTGAGGAAAACGTGCTCTTGGTTGGATATCCCCTCAATCAGATTTCTGGTACAAAGTGCATGGCCTATGTTACGCTGTCCATTAAGGGTGTAGTGTGTTAGTTTTAGAGGTACTATTGTTGTGTTTTTTTGCATATTGATTGTTGAGTAGAGTAGAGTAGAGTAGA